CAGTGGATGTCTGTTCAATGTCATACATCTTCATTTAAACGTACGAGGTTACTTGTAAATATATATACATGGGCCCATACTATATTTCCCTTTAAGCCAAATCAAATTTGAATCTAAGTATTTTACAAGTGGTTAGCGTTCTGTCCTAATATATTGGTTCTGTCCAATAATTAGGCAGGTTTGGGCTGAGGACGCTGGGATTTGGGTTCCAGCAGAGAGGAAGCTGATTTACGGACAGAGGTATCCAGTCGGGGTACCAGGCGGTCCGTCACACGAGACACCTACATTTCCCAAATGGGAACTCTCTGTTTTTCTGGACTAGCTTTGCAAGAAATTTGCACCTTCCATTTGAAAATGTCTGAAGGTTCATCCAGGTCATGGTACATCTGTACAAAAAGAAATAAATACATTAATCAAGACAACTGGACTTGCTGCATTTTTCTGGAAGATGTTTTGCTGGTCATCAGACCAGCTTCCTGAGAATGACTCCATTCAGAATTAAGAAAGCTGGTCTGATGACCAGCAAAACATCTTCAAGAAACAATACAGCAATTCCAGTTGTCCGGATTTATTTTTTTATAGATAACCTTAAATGCTGAACTTCGTTGCCATCCCATCTGCCAAACACATGAAGTCTTCTAAGTTTTACTTTTTATTCCACAGCTTACTGAAAAAAATCACAAGTTATCGCAAACAGTCCCACGAATGACAAAACAGGATGTTTGACTTGCTGGTAAAATCTGTTTCTTAGAGTACAGTACACACTGGTATAGCCCCAACACCTCCAGGGGAGGGTACTGTGCTCTGCACTCCAAGACGCAGGCAATTCAGAGACAACTGGAACAACGGCAATTAGGCCCAACAACACATGCAGAGCACCCCCTGCAAGGTCCATTAGGAAGGACAAAGAGGGAATCAGATTGTTGGAAGGAAGCCATCATGGAAAGATAGATACAGGCAGCCCTGACCAGACCCAAACAATGGATAGCCACCTCCATAGGATGCGTCAGAGCCGGACAGAAGGAAGTCCTCATTAAGATGGAAGGAGTAAACCAGCTTAGGTAGAAAGTAGGGCTGGTAATGATTAACATTTTCGTGTTCGATTATAACGCAAATACAGATCCAACTACATTGGCGGTATACTGAGCTTAGGGTGACGCTAGTTTGTGTCCTCCCGTTACCCTAAGGAGAACTATGGGGAGAAGCCCTGACCTCATAGTTCTCCTTTAATCTCACGTGCCCCACTAAGCGGCGGCCATATTGGGTGGGGCACGTGAGATGAATAACGTGCTGGATTAGTGTGATCCTAGTTCATTTTATTACTTCATTGCTGTATGTGTATAGGTCATTGCTGTTTGTGTCTAGGTCATTGCTGTTTGTGTATAGGCCATTGCTGTGCTGTATGTGTAATAGGCCATTGCTGTGCTGTATGTGTAATAGGCCATTGCTGTGCTGTATGTGTATAGGTCATTGCTGTGCTGTATGTGTATAGGCCATTGCTGTGCTGTATGTGTATAGGCCATTGCTGTGCTGTATGTGTATAGGCCATTGCTGTGCTGTGTCTAGGCCATTGCTGTGCTGTATGTGTATAGGCCATTGCTGTGCTGTATGTGTATAGGCCATTGCTGTGCTGTGTCTAGGTCATTGCTGTGCTGTGTCTAGGTCATTGCTGTGCTGTATGTGTCTAGGCCATTGCTGTGCTGTATGTGTCTAGGCCATTGCTGTGCTGTATGTGTCTAGGCCATTGCTGTGCTGTATGTGTCTAGGCCATTGCTGTGCTGTATGTGTCTAGGCCATTGCTGTGCTGTATGTGTCTAGGCCATTGCTGTGCTGTATGTGTCTAGGCCATTGCTGTGCTGTATGTGTCTAGGCCATTGCTGTGCTGTATGTGTCTAGGCCATTGCTGTGCTGTATGTGTCTAGGCCATTGCTGTGCTGTATGTGTCTAGGCCATTGCTGTGCTGTATGTGTCTAGGCCATTGCTGTGCTGTATGTGTCTAGGCCATTGCTGTGCTGTATGTGTCTAGGCCATTGCTGTGCTGTATGTGTCTAGGCCATTGCTGTGCTGTATGTGTCTAGGCCATTGCTGTGCTGTATGTGTCTAGGCCATTGCTGTGCTGTATGTGTCTAGGCCATTGCTGTGCTGTATGTGTCTAGGCCATTGCTGTGCTGTATGTGTCTAGGCCATTGCTGTGCTGTATGTGTCTAGGCCATTGCTGTGCTGTATGTGTCTAGGCCATTGCTGTGCTGTATGTGTCTAGGCCATTGCTGTGCTGTATGTGTCTAGGCCATTGCTGTGCTGTATGTGTCTAGGCCATTGCTGTGCTGTATGTGTCTAGGCCATTGCTGTGCTGTATGTGTCTAGGCCATTGCTGTGCTGTATGTGTATAGGCCAATGCCTTGGCTGGCGCTCCTGCAGAAAGTTTCTTGGGCAAACTCACCGCCCCAAGTGGCTCCGTCGGCTAACGAAGGCTTCCCTTTGTTAGAAGTCATGGACATCGACGTCACCGAACTCCTCCCCCCTTCCCTTCGTTAGCCGACAGAGCCACTTGGGGAAGGGAGGAGTCCGGTGACGTCACCGGTCGCCGACGGTACTCCCGGAAGCCGGCAGAGAGGGGAGTGTTTTCATTAGCGATCAAAATAATTTTAATTGATAAAAAAGTTTAACAATCAATCGACAAATTAATCTTTAATTTCCACAGCCCTAGTAGGAAGCAATCCTTTTGTCTGAGAACTACCTGATCCTTGTGCATGACAATGCAATGGAGCCTTACAGGAAAGTGCAGCCAACTCCGAAACCCTCCTAGCAGAGGTAATGGCCACAAGAACCACCACCTTGCCGGTGAGATCCTCCAAAGATATCACATGTAGAAGACATGAAAGGAGCCAAGTTCAAGTCCCATGGCGGGAGGAGCCATATGAACGAACAAAGGCTTTAATCAGAGAGTGTGACGTTAAAGTCCTTTGGAAGAGAATGTCCGAACACTTTCCTTTATTGTACTTCAGAACACCTGCTGATCCAGACCGGATTGGAGGAAAGTCAGAACTCGTGCGAGGATAGAACTTGTGTCTCACACCAAGCTAAATAGGCTCTGGAGGTACAATGACACACCTTCCTGACCTGTAAGAGTCTGACAGACCCCTGTCCCTCAGGACTCAGGCTTCAACAGCAATGCCAGTGACCAAGAAGCAGGATGGAACACCAGACCCGGAGACAGAAGACCCTCATGGTGTGGAATAGGCCACAGAGATTCTGCCAACAGGCCGAGAATGTTTGCATGCCACACTCTTCGTGGCCAGTTTGGAGCCACCAGGGCCCCAGTGTCCTTATGCTTTTTCTTCCAAGTAAAATGTTTTATTGAAGCAAATAGTAAAGTAGTGACAAGGCAAAACATGTAACATGCCCGGTGCTTCAATATTACATACATGGATCTGATCCTGGAATATAGGAATGGCTACCATGGCAGATTAACCATAGACAAGCGTCAGACTGCGCGCTTCTCAATGATAATGTGTCACCGGCGGGATTCTTATCCTAGAAGAGGCCAGGCTATGTGTGAGAGAGCTTCATGGTCATGGTGCAGAGTATAATTACAAGGAGAGTTTGATGGTTAGGTGTGGTAGCTAGAATAGGTATTCCAGGATCCAATGTATTCGTCAACAGTAGTACAAATGGTGGTACGGGGGTAATCTGGCAGTGGATGAGGGAGGTTTAAAGATTGGCCCTTATGCTTTTTATTTGTCATAGTTAGGGGCCCCACATACCAAGGGTAATAAGAGGGTCCCCGCAGTGGTCCCAGTACCCAGAAAGCACATGTTGTCCACAGATGTAAGAAGATTCCACCATGTGCCCGTAAGCAAAATGACCGCCGCCACCCCCTGCAGCACAAGGCGTGCTCATCTCAGAACTCCTCCCAGCTTCCATAAGAGGTATCCCCAGTTTTAGCGCAGGCAGCCGGGGGAATATGGGGGTGCGGAGATGGGGTCCGCTTAAAGGGTCTGTAATGGCCCGCAGGCTGTGACATGAGGACCTATTATAGGGTGTGGGGGTGAGAGGAGCAGATACTACTTGCCACCGGTTGTCAGAAGACATCCACAAGGACAAGTAGGGGGGTGTCACTCCACACAGCCTCGGTCTGGCTCTTTTTGGTAGAGCACACCGCCTCCAAAAGGGGGTTTTCCGGGACTGGGTCACACTATGTAGAGAAGCCACTGCCCTGGACCTGTATAGCACCCCGTGACACCAATTGGCAAACGCAGGATCCAGACCCCAAACCAACAGGCTGGCTCTGCTTCTTTACACCGGTGGGGTCTGGATACCGTCCCAGAAGCCTCGAGTACCAATCTGGAAGCCGGGAGGTAGCCACTGTGACTGAACGCAGCCAGCTGGGAAGAAAGCAAGTGAAGACATTCAAAAAAGGAACTAAAACTATGGAATGTTTGTCAGTTGTGGAATGAAGTGGCCGACGTCCATCAACTATGGAATATATAAAAGAGTGGGAGGGGTTATATGGGAGTCCTCACCGATCACCAAGCTATACCTGCATATTACCCCGTCGTCTCTGAATGTCCTGTACTGCTGACCCAACACATGGAAAGCATATTTATAAAAGGCCGGGGTAGGCAACCTTGGCACCCAATGCCTCATGGGAATTGTAGTTCCACAACGGCTGGGACTGCCAAGGCTGTCTACTCCTTGGACTTATGCTGAAGCTAAAATCATAGATTGTCAATGAATACAAATCCCAACACGCTGTTCACATGTCCTGAGATGCTACAACCCAAGCCAATGTTTCCTGCTGCAGGGTCAATACACCTTCAATGACGTGGCAGTGATGAGAAATTGTAACACGTAACGACACAGAACAACCAACAGCAACTATTTATTTCTTTTATTTGAAATGCATTCTTCTTCATAAACGTGCGGAGGGCGTGACAAGGGCCACACACAACACTTGATGGGAACAGAACGGTTAAGTTTTCTTTTTGGAAGATTAGGACCTAGTCCTCTTTTTGTTGGAGACCCTCCTCTTCCATGGGCTCATCAGGGGGTGGGGAGTACGTGCTGCACGTAGTTGTGTTCTCAGGTTCCTCCGGAGGGGATTCTTTCTCAGGATGTTTCTGAGGAATTAGGAACAGAAAAAGATTTGAAAGAAAAGAAGAGATTAGAATAAGAGATGTTAGAGGAGCCTAGCTAGAGACAAACCATTAGGAGCTCCTCCTCTTCTTCTTCAATCATGATAACGGGGAGATCCAGTTCCGTTTCCTCCTCCGGCTCCGCCTTCTTTACCTTCTGCTCTTCAAGTATTTGACGCTTCAATGATTTTTCTTGAGCGAGACGTTTGGTAATGAGGTCCTGGCCTGGAGCTTCTGCCGCCTTGTTTAAACAAAGGAGTCAACGCCTGTTTGAGACAATGACCTCCATGATACAGAATCATTTTAGTATAAAAAGAGTTACATTACCTCTTCTGTTAATTCATCCATTCTGGACTCCGCCTCCAAGATGGCCATGGTAGCATGCGGTACGTGAGCCAGCTGTCCGAAATTAGGAATACAAAGCAGTCAGTCATTTCTCCTCCCTCCTTCCGTAACACAATCGGCCAAAGCTACATTTTAGATGAAGTCTACTGACCTGGTTTGGTGTGAAGGTCCTAACATGAGCTAGGAGAGGGTCTCGGAGATCAGGACACGTCTGGAGGACAGACAGCAGCTGAGGTGGAGGAAGCTGCAGCAGGACGCTGAACGACTGAGGTTTGGTCCTTTGGCAACATTTAATAAAACCCTCCCAAACCTTGGGGTACTTCCAAACCTGGAGAGAGAGGATAGCACCATATAAAAACATGGAGGCCGACCCTCCTCCAATACCTGCAGCCTTAGGGGTCAGGTGTGAACGTGGGATATCTAAGCTCAGAGCCATGCCAAGATCTGAGGCCTACATATGGGAGGAGTCATTCCTGAGCGCAGGTGCCGGAGACAATGTCCTGACTTTGATGTGTATCGTTGTATGATGGCTTGTGTGTTGTATGGAAGCGTTATTCCTATATGTAAAGGATCTGACAACGTACAGAGTAATAGCACTGATCCCGTTTCCTTGTACTACCGAGACTACAGCTGCAACCTGTAAAATGTCAGCAAGAGGAGGGAGACTTCATTAGCCAACCTGCTTATAGATGAGACGAGTCAAGATGTTCATGATGAAGCCACCGAGCCGAGGATACATCCCAAGAGCCTGGATAACGGTCCTCATAAGAAGCATAGGGAGCGGCGTGCTGTCCATGAGCTGCTGGAGAACCACAGCCAAGACCTCGGAGGTGTAGACGGAGCGAGCAGCAAAGCACAGATTGGTGGCTGGAAGAGACAGAAACGTCAGCCAACGGAACAGGAAACGCATAGAAAGAGGAGAAGGGTGTCACCGCTTACCCTTAATGACGGATTTCATGTCACATTTACTGGAGTCAATGTTATGGAGAGCAACCAGCAGATCCCCGGGGGTCAGAGGAGACATGGAGGAGCTCACATCACCTGAGGAGGAAACACAAACTCAGACTGGTACACGGGGACACCACAGGGAGTCTGACACGGGGACACCACAGGGAGTCTGACACGGGGACACCACAGACCATCGTTTCACATCTCCTCTCACCATGCTGCGTTCCCAGAAGACGGTTGAACACTTCCTTCACAACTATGGGGTTGAGTTTGATGAGCTTCGGCAAAGCCTGAACCACCTCCTTCTAGAAGTCCCAACAGAGAA